AGTCTGAGAAGATCGCCAACATGCATCTTTGAAAAGTTGTTGGGGCATTGCAAATCCAAATGGCATTTTCCTGTAAGCAAACACACCAAAAGGACAAGTAAAAGCAGTTTTTTCTTGGTCTTCTCGATCTACTGTTATCTGATTATACCTTGAATAACCATCCAAAAAATAATAAAAAGTTTGTTATGCTAACCTTTCTAACATTTGATCCATAAAAGGTAAAGGAAAATGATCCTTTCTAGTTGCCTGATTCAATTTCCTATAATCTATACACATTCTCCAACCTGGTGACAGTCCTAGTAGGTATTAATTTATTTTTATTATTATAAATTACAGATCATACCTCCTTTTTTTGGGATCACCTGAACTGGGCTAACCCAAGTACTATCGACGATAGGATAGATCATACCTGCATCAAGTAGTTTCAATACTTCTTTCTTTACCACCTCTTTCATAGTTAGATTAAGACGTCTTTGAGGTTGTGTAACAGACTTGAAATCATTCTCCATATGAATCTTATGCATGCAACAAGAAGGATTGATTCCTTTGAGATTAGATAACGTCCACCCTATAGCCTTCTCATTTTCTTTCAAAACTGAGATCAATCTTTCTTCTTCAGAATTTGTTAAGGCATTGCTAATCACCACTGGCTTGTTGCCTTTGTCTGCAAGAAAAACATATTTTAGGTGGGGAGGTAATACCTTTAATTCCAGCTTCTGACTCTCAGTTTTATGTTCTTGCTGCAATTTCTCAAATTGTTGTTCTTTTGCAGTAACTTCTTTTGCTGAATCCATAAGTTTTACATAATTCTCAATTTCTTTTTCCTCCTCTTTATCAAATTCATCATTAATTCCTGTCAAAGATTTTTCTAATGGGCTTACTTTAGCTAGTTGCTTCCTTGCTGCTTGAAAGATATCATCTAGCACATCTATTCTAAGACAATGTTAATTATCTGTAGGATGCTTCATTACTTCAAACACATTAAAATTAACTTCCTCATCCTCTACTCTGACTTTTAACTTGTCATCATCAACATCAATAATAACTTTTACTGTCTTCATGAAAGGTCTTCCCAGTATAAGAGGAACTTCAGTGTCTTCCTCCATATCCATCACAACAAAATCAACAGGAAACATGAATTTATCAACTTTGACCAAAACATCTTCCGCCACACCATAAGGAAATTTTAGGGATCTGTCAACTAGCTGTAATGTCATTCTTGTAGGCTTTACTTCCAAGTCTCCTATTCTTTTAAGCATAGACAAAGACATCAGATTTATACTAGCACCCAAATCAAGTAATGTCTTACCTACTTGTAATGTCCCAATTGTGACTGGAATAGTGAAACTACCAGGATCCTTGGACTTTTGAGGTAAAGAATTCTGAATTATACCATTGCATCCTGCTTCTAGCTCCACTGTTTGTGCAGCAAATCTCTTTTTCTTAGTTAACAACTCTTTCATGAATTTTGCATAAGTCGGCATCTGCTCCATAGCTTCCATAAGTGGAATATTAATCTGTAAATGCTTGAAAATATCAATGAATCTTGCAAACTGTCTTTCTTTATCTTTCTTGGAAGGATGACGAGGATATGGTAAATCCTTTAATTGCGGTATTTGACTCTCATCTTTCTCCTTCTTTTTCTCACTCTTTTTATTTTTTTCTTCTTTTTCAGTATTTTTTTCTTTTTCTATATTCTCTCTTTTATTTTTCTCTTTTTCTCCTTCACACTCATCTTCTTTTTCGTGTAGGATTTCCTTCTCTATAGCCAGATTGTCCCCAATACCTTCTCCTATAACCTTACCACTCCTTGTGGTTATTGACTTACATTGCTCCTTTGGATTGGTTTGTGTGTTAGTTGAAAACTGTCCTCCTTGCTGCTCAGATAATTGTTTAACCAGTTGACCTATCTGGGTCTCTATATTTCTGAATGAAGCCTTAGTATTTTTCTGATTAGCCATAGTGCTTTGCATGAATTTTTCTAAAGTATCCTTCAATTTACTCATTCTGTCAGGCACTGAAGGATAATGATGTTGCTACTGTTGATATGGATGTTGCTGATATGACTGTTGTTGAAATGTAGGTTGTCTAGTAGATGAGCTAACACCTTGTTTCCACCCAAAATTCAGATTCTGTTTCTGATTCCCTCTCCATCCTTGTGCAACATTATTCTGATAATTGTTGGGATTAGGGAAAGTACCTTGTCTGCCTTGACTACTACCTTGAGCCCCCATATAATTAGCTTCTTCTTGTTGAATGTTACCTTGATAAGAGTATTGTTCATTTGCATGATCACCTCCACACACGTCACAACTCATCTGTTGATTAGGAATAAATTGTATTGTGTGCATTTGTTGAGCTAATTTCTCTATTTTCTAGTTCAATGCTTCAATTTGTTGCGTCAAAATTTTATTTTGGGATAAGATAGCATCTGAGGTGTTAAGTTCAGGAACTCCCTTCCTTTGAATTGGATGTCTATCATGTTGGGCCTGTTGGTCTGTAAAAGCTAGTGCATCAATAATTCTTGTAACATGTTCAATTTCTACATTCAACATGGATCCTCCTGCTGCAGCCTCTAATAGCATCTTTGCATCATGTCGCAAGCCAGTATAAAAATATTCAACTGAGCAATGTCATCAAATCCATGATTTGGGCATCTTCTCAACAGTGATTTAAATTTCTCCCATGCTTCACAAAATTGTTCATTTGCTCCTTGTCTGAAAGAAGTGATGTCGAATTTTGCTTTGATGTAGCGGGATGGTGGGAAAAATCTGTTCAGAAACTTCTCTTCTACATTACTCTAATTAGTCAAACTTTGATTAGGATGTGCTTTCAGCCACTCCTTTGCCCTACCTGCCAAAGAAAAAGGAAATAATCTCAAATATGCAGATTTAAGATTTGCTGCTCTAAATCCTATGGTACCAATTAACTCATAAAAAGTAGACAAATGAATATAAGGGTCTTCATGATCCAATCTAATGAATTGATGAACACTAATTAGGCTTAAGAAAGCTGGATTCATCTGCAATGTTTGATCGTCCGGTATGGCAATGCTAGAAAAGTGTCTTGGACCTTGCTGCATAGCATAATTTCTGAGAGTTCTTCTAGGTGGATTTGAATTTGGGTTTTGATTTGGATTTATATTTGGATCTGGATTCAGATTCAGATTTGCTCATTCTTCTGCCATATCTTGTATAATTGGGTCTGGTAAATCAAATGTGGAAGAAGAATTAGCATATTCTCTTGTGGCTTGTTCTTGAGTTTCCCTTCTTCTTCTACCCTGGTTCCTCCGAGCTATTTTTTCAATCTCCGGATTAAATTCTAATTGCTTTGAAGATACCATCCTCTTAAACGCATAAATCAAAAGAGTAACTCAAACAAAAATTAGCACAAGACAATAATTAATTAAAACTAAAACTGAAAAATAAAACAAAAACAGAAATAAAAATAAAATACTCAATAAGCTAAACAAAGAATTCTCAAAGAACATCGTTCCCCGGCAACAACACCAAAAATACTTGTTGAATTATTGGCAAGCGTACCAAAATTATCAATCGCAATATAGTATTTCGATTATATGCTTACTAAGTGGATTAAAACAGATTGGATTTTTCAAATAAGAGTTGAATTGAAATTAAATGACAAAGAACTATAAATTGTTGAGAAAATATCAATTAAAGGTACTTAGGATTGGTTTCCTTCCTTATCCCTCTGTTGTAATGGCTATGTCAATTAAGAACGTCAATTAACCTAACAATGTTGATGCCACCTACTCAATTCATCCATGTTGATTCTTCACACATGAAATTCATAAGAAAACCTAATAAATGTTGATTCCTCACACAATTAAGAGATTTTCCAGCATTAGGTTTAGGATGTTAAGCAATTGATACATTCATTCCATTCCTAACATAACAAATATTCTTACGGTGATCTAGGGTTCAAGATATATTTTCCAATCATACCTCAAACAATTAAGAATAAATCATTCCAAAGCATAAAGGATAAGAATAACAACATCAAAGCATAGATTAATATCTCAAAATATCACCATCATACAAAAGAGTTCAAAGGAAGTGCACCAAATCCTAAGAGAATGAAGTTAGCCACTCATGTTGGCCATTATAATGCTCAAATTGTGGAAGAAGTGAAGAATTGATGAAGATTGGATGAAACCCTAGCAGTAGTCGCGCCTCTTCTCCTCCAAAACCGCTTTCTTTTCTCAAAACACATCTTCTCATTTTATTGGAAAAATTTGGGCTTTTGGGCTTCGCGTCTTTCGCTCGAGCGAGAACTTTCGCTCAAGCGAAAGTAGCCTGTTTTCGCTCAAGCGACAAAACACTTGCTTGAGCGAATGGACTCTAGAGAAGAATAAGTAACATTCGCTTAAGCGAATTTTCCTGCGCTTGAGCGACTGACTTTCAGAGAAGAGTAACTGATATTCGCTCAAGCGAATCTTGTCGCTTGAGCGAGTGAACTCCAGAGAAGAATAATAACATTCGTTTAAGCGAGAATCCATCTCGCTCGAGCGATTTTCATGCTGAAAATCTTCTTCCTTCTTCCAGTTTTACTCCAATTCTACTGTTAATTATGCTCCTTACTTTTGTATCAAAGTATTCTTGAATTCATCCTATATTGGGAGAAAAATAGATTGTAATTAGCATAAGTTAAGTGGTTTCATAACAATTCAAGGTATAATTATATCAGTTTTTTATCACTTAACACTTACACCCTATTCCAGCACAAATTTATGAAAAATAGAAAACACATATAACCCTATGAGACATATGTAAACTTTAGAAATTTGATGAAAATTGGACTTATCAATTCACAATTTAGAAGTATTACAAATATTTAACACATTTAAATTTCAAATATTATTATGAATATATTCTGGTTCCTTTGCAGGCAGTGAAAACCTTGAAAAATCAAATTCTTTTCTTGATGAGTTCCACCGCATACAAAGCAATGGGATTGTGATCACAGATTGGGCACCACAAATGGATATTTTGAAGCATCCATCTGTCGGCGGTTTTGTGTCACACTGTGGCTGGAACTCCATTATGGAGAGTGTTTCATGTGGGGTGCCAATAATTGGATTGCCTCTTTTTGCAGACCAGATGATGAATGCTAGAATGCTTGTGGAGGACGTTGGCAATGCAGTTCAAGTAGAGGTGTCACCCTCTGCCTACATGGTTGGAAGCGAGGATTTAGCAAAAGCAATAAGGAAGATAATGGATAAGGATGACAGAGATGGGTGTGTGATTAGGGCAAGGGCTAAAGAGCTCAAACACATAGCAGAAAGAGCTTGGTTTCCTGATGGTTCCGCTTATTTTGAACTTTCAAAGATTGGTCACTAAATGACCTCTGTAACTCATTTGGGGTAGTTAAGAAGTACTCCCTTGATGAAAAAAATTATGTTATAAGAAATTGTTAGTATTTTGCTTGAGCTTTTAATATTTATTTATTTTAATAAATTATGTGTGTAAAAACAATCCCTCCATATAAATAAGTTTAAGTTTGTTATCATCTCGATTTATATCTACTATTTACTATACATCTAAAAATATATTAAAAATCTATGTGTGTTGAAAACTTAATTTATTTATTATTTTTTTATATTCATATTATACACTTTAAAAAACATTTAAAAGTTAAAAATTATATAACTACTCAGATTTTGTATAATTTTTGTAGAAATAGGAAGCTAGAAGTAGAAGAATGGAGGTTTAACGTACAAGAGATTTTGCTCAATGAGAAACATCCCTAGTACTGCAGAGTGAGATTTTTACATTTGTTATTTTAGTTTTTTTACATCATATATAAGTTTGACGTTAATACAAGAGATATAAATTTACCTCACACGTAATAATCGACGTCAATTTATGCCAAAAAAGACACAAAATAGATGTAAAAGGGTTTCAAAAATTTAAAAATGGGACAAAATTTACATCAAGTGTGTTAATACTCGACGTAAATTTACCTTGCGTATTACCACACCGGATGTACATTTCGTCGTTTTGTTTAATATTATGTTTGTTTTGTCTTACAATCAAAACCTACAAACACATTTTAATAAAAAAACAATCCATATTTCAGACTTTCAATAGATAATAATTTAAAATACAACAATACAATATAATATAAACTATTAAAGCTAAACTAGTACAAAGAGTAAACTACTTAAAAGTTAAATACTAAACTACATAATATAATATAATACAAACAATAACTTACAACCTATATACTAGAAATGTTAAATGAAAACCTTGTTTATTACTCTCTAATTTGTGTAATATCATGTTCTGATAGCGGAGATGAATTTTGAAATACTTTAAACATTAATTTGACTCCTTTTAACATTCATTATGCATAAAGGTAAATCAACTTAACAAATGTTGAAAGCAATTACCTCTGTCCAAGAATTAGTTATACCCGCACAAACTTTGATTCTCATCCAATACGTAATATAGTAAGAATATTAAAAGGAGTTTGTTTGCTTATTACACTAAATTAAGAAACAAAACATAATGTTATTTTCAAAATTTAAATATGAACAATAACTATGTTGTTTGTTTATATAAATAAGTTTTTAATCTTAGGATAAATGAATTGAAAATTCTTTGTTCTGGGTCTTCCACTTACAATATTAGTTGCAGAAACGATTCTAATTGAAATAAAGTTAGATATTATTCAATATATATTTAGAATTTCAAAACATAATTAATAAAAAAAATATAAAGTTACCACTTGTAATAGACTTTTTATTTCTTGACTTGGTTTTCGATGCAATGAAAAAAAAACACACCACAATGTAATCCCTAGACATGATTACAATTAACTACCAATGAGACCTACAATATATGACATAAAAATTAGTAATAAAATTAACATGATGAAAAAATACAAGTTAAAATATTAACCCTTCAATGAATGAAGTCAAGTGCATATGTCTTTCTGTTAAGTGGTAAAAGTTGATGTAATTATGCTCTTAATTGTGATATAACCACTTAAATTATAGTGATTCTAATATATTTTTCTCCCAATGTAGGATGAATTTTCATAATACCAAGATACAAGAGCAAAGATAATAATTGTGAAGTAATTGAAGAAAAATTAAAAGAAAGAAGAACGCTTGAGTAAACGAATGATGCGAGACCTGACCCAAATTTTCCTATAAAAAGATAAGACGCGTTTTGAGATGAATTTTAGGTTTTTGGAGAAGAGGCGCGACTGCTATTGTTCTTCAAGGATTCTTCAATTCTTTCTCGTTTAGAGCATTGTAATAGCCACCATGAGTGACTAACTTCATTCTCTTAGGATTGAGTACACTTCCTTGGAATTCTTTTGTATCATGGTGATATTTTGAGATATTAATCTATATTTTGATATTATTATTCTTGTCTTTTGTGCTTTGGAATGATTTATTCTTGATGTTTGGGATATGATTGGAAAATATATCTTGAAACCCTAGATCAGGTAAGAATATTTGCTACGTTAATTTCCAGGAATGGAATGAATGTATCAAGTGCTTAACACCCTAAACCTAATGCTGGAAAATCTTTTAGCTATGTGAGGAATCAGCATTTATCAGGTTTTCTTATGAATTTCACATGCGAGGAATCAAAGTGAATGATTTGAGTAGGTGACATCAACATTGTTAGGTTAATTGATATTCTTAATTTGACCTAGCCATTATGCAAAAGAGAGAAAAGGAAGGAAGTCAATCCTAAGTTCTTTAATTTAATCTTTTCTAAATATCGTCTATTGTTCTTTACCATTTAATTTCAATCCAAATCTTTATGAAAAACCAAATTTTTTTCAATATACTTAGTAAGCATATGATTTGGAATTTCCATTAAAACCGTTCCTCGTGGGATCGACTTTTATTTAATCGAAATACTATACTGCAATTGATAATTTTGGTACCCTTGCCAAATAAATATTCAACACTTTTTGAGTCATTCGTCCATGTTTATATTGCTAGATTCCGACCTTTGTATTTCCAAATATTTGGATGGATTGAAACTCAATAAATCCATATATTTCGAATTTTTCTTGCTCCACACTCAATTTTTCAATGTACTTAACACAATAAATTACAAGTTAAATATATTTATTATAATATTGGAAATATAAATGAAAATGACTTACATGACCCACAATTGTATGATGAAAATGTTTAACATGTAGTTTTCCCCAATAATTTCTAATGCGTCGGACAAGGAAATGTACAGTGGAACAAATGAATTATCAATTCCAAACACTATGGTCTCCCACTGTATTTGACATGGTCTTTTCCTCAACCATGGTAATAAATGGTCAACAACATAGTTATAAGATATCCTTAGATTCTGTGATGTTCTCATCAATAACAAGTTGTCTCTTATGCTTACCACGACAAATAAACTCCTAAACAAATGATAACAATTAATTAAACATTCATATAATTATAAGAAGAGAAAATACACAATATATACATTACCTTGATCCATGATGGGAGTGACATTACCAAACGTCTTGGTCAAACCAAGAATGTGCCGCTTGCCTACCCCACTAGTTGAATCTCTTCATTACGAAAAGGCACTAGAGCATCAACATCATGAACTTCATCAATTACTACCTGCGTCCATTCTGCTTGTAGAGGGATACCATGGATAGAGAAGCCACCTTAAAAAACTCAACTAACAACCACTAGATGTGAGGGTCAACATATAACTCACACTATTGTGGTGCTTCAATGTGAGTATATTATCCTGAGGGATCTGAAGCAGCAACACAACTCTCTTTAGTGTTGACTTGAACAAAATCATCTTAAAATGTATGAGGTGCTCCTTGAGTCTGTTGCTGAGAGTAGGCAATAGATTTAAGTTTCTTATCAAATTCTTGCTGCAAGGACTATCGTTCTTGATTTAGATTTTCTTTAAATTACATCTCCATTTTATACAAGACCTTCTGGCTGTAAGAGTCGACAGTGGTCCTTCGTGATGGTGGTCAACTAAATGTCATCTCGACCATGGGGAATAAATGATCTTTAGGTTGCCCGGTCAACTAAATCATCCTGCAACACATTAACAATAAGTAAGTTACACACTAACTAATGTAGGAATCAATTGAAATTGACATTATAACTTATGATTTTCTCAACAATGATTTGTGCAAACTCATAACTCATTTGTCAATCAGATCTTGTTTGAGTTGTCTTCCACATCTCATAGTGGGGGGGAGGGGGGGGGGGGAGATGCACGGTCAGCAAACTCAACTCCTACTAACTCTACTATGGCTTTCATGAGACGCTGCTCTAACAATGCATACCCTCCCCGCGACAATAGATGGGGTGCATCATTCAACTTTAGACATTCCTGGACAGCTAATCTTATATCCTACAATGTAAATAAGAAAATTAGAGTAGTAGTATATTAGGTATTATTAAGGTAAAAATTACTAAGAACTAACCTACCAAAAGGGGTCTAATCGACTGATACAACATTGTAACCACTCCTCCTCACTAATCTGATACTTTAGACTGAGAGGTTCATCTTGATACTTTTCAAAGATATGCTCTCGTGTCAAGAAAGTCTTAATGCCCCTCAAATCTTCTTCCTCATCACCTTAGTGTTAGAAATTTTAAAATTTTGTTATCAAATTACCAATAAATGTTGTTGAATAATTGACAAGCATACCAATATTATCAATTGCAATATAGTATTTCAATTAAATAAAAGTCAATCCCTCGAGGAATGGTTTGACTAGAAATTCCAAATCGTAAGCTTACTAAGTGGATTAAAGCAAAACTGGTTTTTCATACAGATTGAGGTTGAAAATAAATGGCAAAGAACTGTAAAATGTTTTTAGAAAATATCAAATAAAAAAACTTAGGATTGATTTCATTCATTTTCCCTCTTTTGTATAATGACTATGTCAAATTAAGAACAACAATTAACCTATCAATGTTGATGTCACCTACTTAAATCATTCACATTGATTTCTCGCACATGAAATTCATAAGAAAATCTAATAAACGTCGATTCCTCATACATTTAATAGATTTCCCAGCATTAAGTTTAGGGTGTTAAGCGATTGATACATCCATTACCATTCCTAGAGATTAACGTAGCAAATATTCTTAACCTGATATAGGGTTTCAAGATATATTTTCCAACACATCTCAAAACATCAAAGATAAACATTGTTAGAAAAGTAGTTTTAAATCAAGAGGGGGGGTGAATTGATTTTTGAAAGTTTTTCGCAATACACAGATTATCTAATTCGAAAATTAAGATTACTTATCAATTCACAAATCACAAAGCAATCAAACAGTTTAAGTGCAGCAGCAGAAATTAAAGAGAGAAAGGTTAGG